TTTGAGAATTACATCCAGAACCTGAGGAGGAGGCTGGACTCTCTCCTGGGACAGAGGGGAGAGCTGGAGTCTGAGCTGCAGAGCATGCGCCAATACGTTGAGGATTACAAAAACAAGTAAGTGCAGGGACCTAATGTGCAAGAAGCAGCCACCAAGGCGAGGAGAGCTGAGCCAGCTCTGAGATTCCACCGCTGTCTTCCCTTTGCTCCTGAGAGCTGAAGAGGAGGCACAGAGGGTTAGAGTACCTTGTTCAACTGCTTCATAGTGGGCTAGTCCAAGAGACTCTCGTTTTCCCTTCAACAGGTATGAAGAAGAGATCAACAGGCGCACGGCTGCCGAGAATGAGTTTGTGGTGCTCAAGAAGGTGAGTCATAGAGGCACCATGAAACTGAGTGTGTGTCCGTTTGTGTGTGTCCGTTTGTGTGTTTGTGTGTTGGGGAGAGTTTGGGAAGGCATTGGATTGGAAGAAGGCAGCTTGAGGCAGAGCAGCTTCCAACAGGAGGCACCGGTTGTCAGGTAGTAGATGAGAAGGTTCTTTGTCCATGTGATCTTCCCTTAGGATGTGGACTGTGCCTACATGACCAAAGTAGAGTTGGAATCAAAGGTGGGAGCTCTGACTGATGAAATCAACTTCCTGAGGAACATCTACGAGGAGGTAAGAAGGCATTTCTGTTTGACGAGGTGCATTTAATCTTGGGAGTCACTTGGGCTCTCTGCAATTGCTGCTCCCTCCTCAGAAGTTCAGGTTCATTCATCTCTCCATTTCAGGAACTGGCTCAGATGCAGACCATCAGCCGGGACTTGTCCGTGGTGGTGTCTATGGACAACAACCGTCATCTGGACATGGACAGTATCATTGAGGAGGTCCGACGTCAGTATGAGCAGATTGCTCAGAGCAGCAGGGCGGAGGCTGAGGCTTGGTACCAGAGCCGGGTGAGTCCCAAAGAGGTTGAGGATGGTCTGATGCTCTCCATGGGTCACTGTCCTCCTCACCTTGGAGCAAGAAAAATAGTGGCGTTCTCTGTAGCTCCTGTCACTCAAGGGTTATTTTGTGTCTGTGTTGTCAGTATGAGGAGCTGCAGAGCACTGCTGGAAGGCAGGGGGACAACCTCCGTAACACCAAGGTGGAGATCCAAGAGCTCACCAGGAACATCCAGAGACTGCGGGCTGAATTGGAGAATGTGAAGAAGCAGGTGAGGCTCCTTGAGCACCTCATCCATGCTGGGTATGGGCATCAGGGTGGTTTCCAGAAGAGGAGTCTGAAGGGACCAATATGGTTCAATAGAAGTGTAGAAAGAAATGTGTTAGGATGACCTTGCTTGTTCCTGCCTCTTCTCCATCCCATTTGTGCTGTGGGGACTGTTCCAATGATGGGATGTTGAAGGGAACTGAGAACCTGCCTTTCTTCTTTCCCAGAACCAGCAGCTGCAGGCAGCTATTGCTGAGGCAGAGGAACGTGGTGAAATGGCCCTCAAGGATGCCAGGATTAAGCTGGAAGAGCTGGAAAGTGCCCTGCAGAAAGACAAGGAGGACCTTGCTCGCTTGCTGAAGGAATACCAAGATCTGTTGAATGTCAAACTTGCCCTGGATGTTGAGATTGCCATGTACAGGAAACTGCTGGAGGGAGAGGAGAACAGGTGCCCTTCTTTTTATTTTTCTCCTTGATTGACACTTAGGTGATTACAAAGTGTTTCTACAGTATTTTATTTATTCCTTATACCACATGATATTATTCTTTGCCTTTGGTGTGTTGGACCATCTCTGTTACAAAAACACAAAGAGGAGTGTTGTTATTGGGGACATAATGGTTTTTTGAATCCAGAAAGAATGGAAAAGTATACTTATAAAAAGAAGAGGCATTCTCAGCCTATGCTTTCTCAATGACTGACCCATATCATTTCCCATCAATAGGTTGTGTGGAGATGGCATGTCCAACGTGAACGTCTGTAAGTATCCGTGTTCATTCAATTGTGAGGTTGTGTTGAGTTGAGTCAACTAGGACTCCCACCAGTGTCCTGTACAACGGGTAAC